GTCACTCATCCTCTCTGTGACATCACTGGAGACTGTCTCTATATTCCAAGAGTCTACAGAGAGATTCATTTGCAGTTTCACAAACTTCAACAAACATATAGCGATGGCGGAGTATTTTACAACGGTGGAGGTTCTTGATAAGCGATGCATGGAGCTACAGGACGAGAACTCCATGCTAAGAACAACGGTGGACAGCATGGAGCAGAAAATACACCAGCTAACTGGGAGGACAGACAGTGGCATCACTGATTTGATGTCCGAAAATAAAATGTTACGGGAAAGGATGGAGCAACAACAATGAGAATCGAGGCGCTAAATAATGAGCTGGAGGAAACCAGAATAACAATTCAGTCACTGAAACAACAGTGCAGAGACTGATGCACCGAAAACCAAAGACTGGAGCCGAATAACATGTCAATCAGAGGGAGGGCAGAGAATGCGTTGAGGGAAAAAAAGAGAGATCGCCAGTGGTTAGAGAATGAAAATAATGAATTAAATAAAGAATTGGTCACATTGAAAATTAAATTAGACAGGCTAAAGTCAAGGTCAGCACATGCCCAGGATGCAAAGACAAATGAGGACATGGCAGTAAAGATGGTGGATGAGCCCAAGCCAACAGTGTTTCAGAGAGTTGGGCGTGTTTTTGTTCAGATGTACCAGGAGGGTACACTACGATATTGGGTACCATCATGGATTTTTTAAAAGTGCTGTAAATCTGCCATCAAGACAGAAACACGCCCAACTCTCTGGAGCACTGTTGGATCTCTTCAAGAGAGAAGGTCTGGGTTGAAGGATGGAAGAGTTTTGGAGAGGAGGCTCCGTCTGACAGTGGATCCTCGGATTGTGGAAGAGCAGTGTGGTTTTCGTCCTGGTCGTGAAACAATGGCAGTTAGTCGGACTCGTTCCCTGTGAGAGTTGGACTCCACCAGGGCTGCCCTCAGTGATTCTGTTCATCACTTCATGGACAGAATTTCTAGGGGCAGTCAAGGTGTTGAGGAGATCCGTTCTGGTGGACTTAGGATCGCATCTCTGCTTTTTGTGGATGATGTGGTCCTATTGGCTCCATCGGGACGTGATCAGCAGCTCTCGCTGGAGCGGTTCGCAGCCGAGTGTGAAGCGGCCAGGATGAGAATCTGTGCCTCCAAGTCCGAGGTCCTGGTCCCTCACAAGGGTCCCAGGGAAGACCCAGGACATGCTGGAGGGACCATGTCTCTCAGCTGGCCTGGGAACGACTTCGGGTTCCCCCAGAGGAGCTGCAAGAAGAGGCTGGAGACAGGAAAGACTGGGCCTCCTTTCTGAAGCTGCTTCCCCGAGACCCGACACTGGATTAGCAGCAGACAATGGACGGACGGAAGGACAGACAGGTGGATGGACGGAAGGACAGACGGGCGGAAGGACAGACAGGTGGATGGACGGAAGGACAGACGGGCGGAAGGACGGGCGGATGGACGGATCTTTTTCACGTGGGTGTATCCTTTTTCAGTTTGCCTTTGGTTTTACATTTTCTACTGCACATATATCAAAGTCGAGTCCGGCAGTCAGACTACAGTGGCTTATAAAAATCACTTTGTGTTTCTATTTTATTTTGTAATTAAATTTGTCTTCCTCTCTGCAGCTTGGGGAGCGTCCATGTGGCAGAAACATGGACAGTGGAGGGAGATGTGCATTTTGAGTTCTGCTCCAAATGTCCGATTATTAGAAGCCATTTTGGGCTTTTTCTTTTTTTTAATTAGCTTACTGATGTTATGAGTTGCTGTTTTAGGTTAAAATACTATTTTTGTTTTCCAGACAATAGAAACACAAAAAGACGCACAAATTACTAAAGTTTTTTTTGTTACTGTTTTAACTTGTTGTTTAATGGTTACTGTGGTAACCATGGTTACTGTGGTAACCATTAAACAATATCCTTCAGTTTAAATTTATAACTGGAAACACAGTGATGATGTAATCATTATAAAATAATCATTATAAAATAATCATTATAAAATAATCATTATAAAATAATCATTATAAAATAATCATTATAAAATAATCATTATAAAATAATCATTATAAAATAATCATTAGAAAATAATCATTATAAAATAATCATTAGAAAATAATCATTAGAAATAATCATTATAAAATAATCATTATAAAATAATCATTAGAAAATAATCATTATAAAATAATCATTAGAAAATAATCATTAGAAAATAATCATTATAAAATAATCATTAGAAAATAATCATTAGAAAATAATCATTATAAAATAATCATTAGAAAATAATCATTATAAAATAATCATTAGAAAATAATCATTAGAAAATAATCATTATAAAATAATCATTATAAAATAATCATTATAAAATGATTATTATAAAATAATCATTATAAAATAATCATTAGAAAATAATCATTATAAAATAATCATTAGAAAATAATCATTATAAAATAATCATTATAAAATAATCATTATAAAATGATTATTATAAAATAATCATTATAAAATAATCATTATAAAATAATCATTATAAAATAATCATTAGAAAATAATCATTAGAAAATAATCATTAGAAAATAATCATTAGAAAATAATCATATTGATCTTTGATAAAACTACTAAGTTTTGTCAAAGATCAATATGATTTTTTCTGCATTGTTGTTGTTAGCAGCTGCTGAAAACAACAACAACGCAACAATAGTTACAGTAAATAACTATTTACTGTTATTTACTATAATAACAGTAAATAGTTAACTATTTACTGTTAATAACTATTTACAGTAAATAGTAAATATTTACTGTAAATAGTAAATAGTTATTTACTATTTACTCGCAGTAAATATTAAATAACTATTTACTGTTAAATAAATAACAGTAAATATTTAAATAACAGTAAATAACAGATATTTACTGTTAAATAGTTAATAACTATTTAACAGTAAATATCTGTATATAAATCCCAGAATAACTGAAACCTTGATCATTAGAACTGCAGCAGTCAAAGCAGAAGGAAGAGTCACTGCTGCAGACTGGCTCCAAACTTCATCTGCTGGATTATTATCAGGAGTTGATTCTATTGGAAATAATACAAACATTGTTAGAGAATATATGGTTCATATGAGTTTGACATAACATTTATATAGATCCACTCACCATTAACTGTGATTCTGAGATTGAGAAAATATGCTGAATCAAGATTTGAACACTGACAGGAGTAGTTCCCACTATCAGCTGCTGTTAAACTGGTCTGGTGCAGAAACAGTTTGATTCCTGCACTGTAACAAATTGCCCTGTATTTTTATAGTAAAATGCTGGCAGCAGGGTTGCCAGCATTATACTGTTAATTATACAGTACCCTTGCTGTAATCAACTTTACAGTATATTACTGTCACAAAAGAAATCTTTTGATTACAGCACATTGCTATTTTTATCAGATTTACAGTAGACTACTGGCAGCAGTGTTGAATTCACATACAGCTTACTACTGTAAATTTCCAATATAAAATAGAAACATGAAAAAAACACTTAAAAAATGTAAGTTCCATTATGTCAAACATTTTTTGGGAAAAAAAGAACAACTCAAACATTGACTCATACACAGTCTTTAGTGGGCCACATAATAAAGAAGGTTTTGAAACGACAATGTATGTGTGCCTTAAACCTAAACCTTTTCTACAAGAATGTTGAGAGTAAACTGTCCAAAGTAAGTCATATTCTGGAAAAACAGTAAGAAAATCACCATCTATTTTGTGAAATAAATTTTTTAACTGATTTAAAGAGTATTTGAATAAAGCATGAATTGCGGCCTTTTGATTAGTCTGAAATAAAATAAGTATGAAATAAATAATGGAAATAATGCATTGTACAACTCAGCACACTACTTTTTCAATACAAAATACTACTTCTTGTGGAAGTGAGGAACAATATGATGCAACATAAACATTTAACTTTCAATCTAAAGCATAGAAAAACATTGCAAATTTTAGTTTGATAAAAATTTAAATGAAACATTTAGACTTGAATTTCCTTTAGGGCAAAATCAGAGCTCCAACTTCAAATGATAAAACAATGAAACAATATTAGACAACACACTGCCAAGATAAGTTAAACATGGTGCCTGTACAGTCAAAATTACATCTGAAGAACAGAAAGTGGGAGCCTTAACAAAATTTATGCTCTTAATTAAAAGAGATGTCTTCAGATTATGCTGACCTTTAAATAAAAAATAAATCTCTCAAGAACACTCCTGTTCAGGGATAAGTTGCCTTCATGCCTGTAGAGTTTTTGTTTGTTTGTTTTTTACGTGGAGGGGCAACAATATCTATAGCTTGGTTAGAAAGTTCTCACTATGAAATTCCACTCAAAGTCCATGAGGTTTTTCAGCAGAGTTGAAACACGGGGATGACAGTGACCGACTTCTTTTGAAAAGTTTTCCCTGTCCTCTTGGAGATGATCTTGCTGCAGCTGGCCTTGGTCCGGGTTGATATCAAGAAAGCGCCTGAAAATGCAGTAATTTCAGATTAGCATATGATGCTTAAGGAGTCAGGGTTTAATGTATGCTAGGTGAAGACAAACTTTTGAATGTTAAGAGTTAATAAAGAGACACCAGCATAACATTTAAACAGTTTTCTGCCAAGTCAACTCTGTGAAACTCCAAATTCCCAGTTGCTATCCATTCACCAATTTCACTTTAGCAGCTAATCATAGCAATTCAAGTCAAATTACACAAAAGAAAGAAAAAGAGCTTCCAAACATGTCAATATTTGTAAATATGAATCATCAAAAATAACTTACCTTAGGATTGGCTCATAAAATGCAGGATTCAAATGGATAGTCCTTGTAAAGAAAGTTCTAGAGGTTGCTTCCACATGTCACCACAACATGTCTTCTTCAGAAATACTGCAGCGTTCTGTTTAAAGAGAGCCTCCTTACCGTTGAATCTAACATCATTCCCAAAAGGCAATGCTACTCACAGTACTACAGTATTTTATTAAAAACAGTAATAATTGCCCAGAATGCATTGTTTTTCACGGTGCAGTACCGTTTTCAATAGAAACAGTATGATACTGTTCAGTTTTGGCCGTTTTTTTACAGCAATTTGTTACAGTGTGGTTTTTAGTGAGAATCTGGAGTCACACTGAGCAGACTGCACTCCTCTCTATTGTTCCTCTCTGTTCTGATTTTACAAATGATCAATATGATGTTTGATGTTTTGTTGGTGCAGATTGGAGTGAAATCTGATTCTTTCCCGATTGTTTTCACAAGAGTCACTGAAAGCAGGAAAGAACAATGAATAAGAAACTGATTGCTGTAATATTGGAATCTTTTAAAAACTAGAACAGATGTAAAACATTTCAAAGAATATTCAACATAACGTTACCTTCAGAGTCCAGACATCATGCAAAAAAAGCAGAAGCAGTAAAAGGTTGATTCTCACTGCGTCCATCTGACCTGCTTATCGATGCAACATCTGCTGCTGCTCTGAACAGAGAGTCTCAACTGAAATGATCTGAAATACGCCAGATAAAAAAAAATCCCAAGGATTATGATGGTAAATTTGTTAAACATTTGTAGAATCAGAATTAATTTGACAGCTGTGCAATAATGGCTGTTGAATAAAGAGAATTTTCCTTCTGAGTGTAGGAGCTGTACGGCTCAATTTCAGTCAAGTCCTGCAGAACAAAACATGTTGTAGAATTAGCCTAAAAATCTGCATGTGAAAATAAAATAATGCATCAATTTTTTAAATATAAATTACTTCCTCTCCATGACGAATGCATGACTCCATTTGCTTTCTGTGGGGAAATAAATTAATGCAACATTGACTTGTTTGATTGATTTATTATTACAGATAAGGTACTTTTTTTTATTTAAATATTGCTTATGTTGATAATAAATAAATAAAAGAAAAAATATTGCATGTTTCTCACCGATGTGAACGTCTTCTGTAGATAAATCCCAGAATAACAGAAACCTTGATAATTAGGAGAACTGCTGCAGTCAAAGCAGAAGGAAGAGTCACTGCTGCAGACTGGCTCCAAACTTCATCTGATGAATTATTAGGATTTGATTCTATTGGAAATAAAACAAACATTATTAGAGAATATTTGGTTCATATGAGTTTGACATAACATTTATATAGATCCACTCACCATTAACTGTGATTCTGAGATGAAGAAAATTTGTTCCATTAAGATTTAAACACTGACAGGAGTAGTTCCCACTATCAGCTGCTGTTAAACTGGTCAGGTGCAGAAACACAGTTTGATTCCTGGTTTTTAGTGAGAATCTGGAGTCACACTCATGAACAAAGTCACCTCCATCCTGATACAGCAGATTGCACTGCTCTCCATTGTTCCTCTCTGTTCTGATTTTACACACAATCATCATGATGATGTTTGACGTTTCATTGGTGCAGATTGGAGTAAAATCTGATTCTTTTCCGATTGTTTTTACAAGAGGTGCTGCAAACAAAAAAGAACAATTAATGACAAACTGTCTCATCTATGAAGCAGTGGAATTTAAAGTAAGTCAGATCAAAGTACAGTTCTAAAAAGTGAAGGCCCCCGATTGATAAAAACCTCAAAATTAAATTCAAAGCAATTCAATTTTTACGTTACCTGTAGAGTCCAGTTGGCAGCCAAACCACAGTAGTAGCAGTAAAATGCTGAATCTCACTGCATCCATCTAACCTGCTTATTTCATCCAAATCTGCTGCTGCACTGAACCGAGGACGTCTGAACTGTCCTTTAAAACTTTTGGGTGACACAAACCACAAACGCTCATCTCTCAAACCAGCACAAAAGGATGTGACTCTCTCTTTTTTTTTTTAAAGGAAATGCACCTGCATGATGACTTCTCTTTGAAACAACAGACCACACAAACAGGAATTATCTCTACACAACTCAAATAAGAGTGAGTCTGATTGAAAGCAAAACAATCAACTATTATCCATGATTATATTTTCCAGTACTCTTAACATCTGAGATTAAAGCTTTGTCAGCATTCTATGATGCTCGGCAGGATTTCCTGCTTGTTTTTCTGCAACAATGGGGTTAGGAGATCTAAATGTCATGTTTGCTTTGTGGTCTTCACACATTTATAATCTTGAATGTGAGCTGCAAAAAGATTAAAGGTCATGCTACAGCTTTATGTAGGTTAGGTCCCTCATTGCTCCTTTATGCAACACTTTTACACCAACATATTGGCAACCAGACAGAAAAATGCAACAAACATCCAAGAGATGATTCTCACTGCAAAGATGCACAGATACAAATGCATTAGAACTGCTGGTTAATACAAAAAGTTAATACATTTGTTCTTTCATTTTAAAATGTTTATAAGTACATATATTTTTCCTTGAATGTTTATCAAAGCTGCAGATGCTATCAGAAATATCACTATTTACTGTATGACAGTAAATTCTTAACATCTTGATATTAAGGTTTTTGCTCAGCGACAGCCAGAATCAAATTATACAGATAACAAAACTAAAACAATAAAAAGGCTTGCATTGTGGCATCACTTTTAAGTAGCAATAAAACAAAAATGTTCATGGATATTCAGTGACTGTTTTTATTTTAATCTTCCATCAAACAAAATTATATCCTCCCATGTAGAAACAGAAATCAGATCCTATTGTAAATTATTGTGCTATACAGGTGAAACAGTGGCCATCATTTTCAAAGGTGGAGTAGATTTATTTATATATCATTTTTAAAATAAAAATGTGGGAGCTGTTTACAAAAAAAAACACACCAGATATGTCAGAAACATGACATAAAAGCAAAATCAAGTAGAAATAAGTAAAAATGCCCAAAAAATAAATGATTTTTTGTGTTAAAGTTCAACATGCAAACCAACAGAAAGGTTGTGAAGTACAACATAACAAGGAAATTCTGTTGTATTCATCAAGACAGATGTTTAATTCAAAATTTTTTCATAAATGTTTCCCAGCCCGTCAGTGACATTTGTTTCTGATTTATACTGATGGTGACCAAAGGAGACAGTTTGATAAATGTCTCTGGTTTGTTGTTGGAGACTTGAGTACAGTTCATCCTGAACAATAAAAGACAAAAAAATTGTAATAAGAACCTTCATGCAAAAGGCCAAAGTCAAGTGAAACATAATTTAATGTCTCTGTTGGGAAAAGACGTTTGAAGAACTGTTTAATAAAAGACAGGAGTAAATAGATACATTAATCATTTAGTTCTTATCAATTTTTTTTCCTTCTTCACTTTTGAATTGTTGCATAAATGCAAAGATCAGTGTTTGCATACAGTGCAGTTTAGTTCCTAAATTAACAGATTCTCTCCCTTAGCGCAACAGTGCCATCTTGTGGTCATTCTGTAAAGCACATGCAATATAAATATTTTTGGATTTCTGTCACTGCTCCTTTATTGGAGCTGAAACAATCTGTTTATAGAAACAGAATTAATCAGAAACTTCCTCCAGTTAAATATGATGTTGACAGGAAATGACGTTTCTGACTATCGATTATGTTAATAAACTCACTATTTAAGTATTCAGGAAAGTAAGTTTTGTGCCATCTAGTGATTGAGATGTTACAAGTTGTACTGGATGTCATAAAAACCACCACTAGATGAATGGATGTAAAATCTAAGATTAGAGGTAAAGTTTTACGACATTTTTTTACAGAATAAAAGGAAAACATGTTCTTCCTGTATTTTCTTGTCTTTTTTGTGACAATCTGAAAATAGTTACTTAAAAAATAAGGATATTTACTCACTACAGTGGCCGTCTCTCCTTCTGCAGACGATCCAGATGTTTCAGCTCTTTAAAACTGAAATAAACTCCACATTTACATGAAAGTTTAATATAACATCTGGAGGTAAAGTTTAAGAAAATATGATTAAAGAAACAAAAGTTTAGATTCAAAATAAAACAATCATATTGAAGATGCAGATAAAGATCGTAAGTGAAATTTGAAATCTGCAGCTTCAGTTATAAAGCTTGAATTGAGGTAAAAGAAATTATGAATATTGAATTAGTTTCTCACCGTTGTGGACGTCTTCTGCAGATAAATCCCAGAATATCTGAAAATATGACAACCAAGAAACCTGCAGCAGTCAAAGCAGAAGAGTCACTGCAGACTGGCTCCAACCTTCATCTGAGGGATTATTATTAGGAAATGAGTCTATTGGAAATAAATAAAAATCATTCTCAATCTCAACATCAGGAGAGTTATGGGTTATGAAGTACGGCATCCTTAATCCATGTGGGTGTTGTTCTGCAGCGATGTCCCATCCTGACCATGTTCTCCATGCTGCCTCAGCTAGGTAGACCACCTACTGAGTGGGCCGTCGGTGGTATCCCTATTTTTTCAGGGATACTTTGTTGGAATCTCCTTCGTGGGATTCTGGGCGATTCGATTTCCCAGTGAACTTCTCGCCAGCGGCTGGTGAGGACCCAGGTGGATTTAAGAAAATCCACAACCTTCACTACGGTCATCAGTTCTTCTTCCTGAAATTTTTAAGAAACAAAAAATCTCCAGGCTGTAGATTACCTCATTGTTTGCTCGCTGGCAAACAATTACAATTATCTAAAAAAATACAAATAAAGTTTGAATAATCTGAAGTTTGAGGAATGAAAAGGCACAGAGTGCATCAAGAAAAATAACAAAACTGTGGCAGATATTGTGCAAATTCATCACCTAGATACTATGTTCCTATTTCCACCTATGAAAAATGTAACAGAAAACAAAGTACAGGGAAAAAAACAGTTTCCAGACTCTTACTAGTTTTTAAAATGTCAGAAAATAAATTTTTTTAAAAGAACCAAAGGAAAAATAAACTAAATATTTGCATATTTTAACTTCAGAATAAAATCAAACATCTAATCAAAATGTTTGGAGGATTTAAAAACATGAAAAATAAAACAAAAATTAAACCCAAAACATGTTTTTGGTACACTAATCTCCTAATTTAACAAAATAATCTTCACAGAGTAAAATATTTCTCTAAATTATCTACAAGCATTTTGAATAAAAAAAACCCAGTTTTCTCAGGAATCCGAGCAAAACCAGGTCAGAATCATCATGACCAGCGTCGGGGGTCAGAGTAGGAGGAGCGTAGGGTCGGGGGTCCATTGAAGGACCGGGGAGAAATGTGATGTTTGTGTTTTAAAGAATACAAACAAAAACAAGTTTAAAATGCAAAACTTTTATTTGTGAGCCAAAGAGGAGGATCAGGATCCACCTGTGACCTCTAACTTAAACAGTACAAACTAATGAACATCAGAAATAAAAGATGGGGGAACAAAAAAAAAAATCTTATCAAAAAGTGACAGCTGCTGCCAGAGCCAACATCGTCAGCTTCTTGATGTCAACCTGAAGATTTCACGGCTCGGACACGCAGAGTTTGAGAGCATGGGCGGACATGTCGGCAAGCGTTTCCCCGTTTGGTGGAGCCGGCAACTGAAACGCCGCCTGGCTGCTGGTTTTCCAGTTCCTGTTTTGTTTTTTTTCGTTTTTTTTCCCCAGGCGCTGGAAGCACAAGATCATTCTTTCCACCTGCTGTGGCAAAAAACACACTAGAGGATGCAGAAGTCTAACACAAAAAGCAGCTAACAGGTATAGCAAAAATAAAACTATTATTGAAAACTATATTCCACTATTGTTCTAAATCTGAATTAATGGATTTTAGGGGAAGGAACTTTGTAATTTTAACAAATATTACGAGTTTATTTCTTTTACATAAAGGCAGGGAGGGGAGGACGCATCCCAAGTGTTTGACTTTCAGTCACCACTGCTTTAATTGCTGAGGTAGAGATGCGTCCCGCCTTGGGACCGATGTTTTCATAAGCCCTCCAGTCAGAGAGGTGCCGAGTCTCAGCTTCCGCGCCTTAAAAACCACCGAACCAATCCGACTGCGTGTCCTTTGACTCCCTTGGTTCCTTTGTGAGCTGGTAGGCAGAGAAAACCATCGACGGTGACTGGGAATGAAACACTGGGACTCAACTGGACAGCCCAAAACACACGAGAAACCCACACGGCATCACACGACCGAACCATTTAGCTTATCTTTAATAATACTTTTAAACTTGAGGGCGACAGCTGAGTGGCACAAGCTGATTAGTTACTGCTATGAATACATATATTTATATATATATATATATATATATATATATATAAAAAAATTCCCTTTGTAATCTTTGCTACATTCAATTGTCCAAACTTGCTACTTGACAAGAGGTTCTTTGTTCGCTTCTGATTCACAGAAAAGATTTCTTTTAAAATCTCAAAAATACAGCTGGTTTTTGGTGAGCCAGCCATAAAAAAGAAAAAAAATACTGCCGCTCCGTTTCTTCCACATAAACCTCTAAATATTAAATCATAGTTTGAACTGAAAAGACATAGTTAAGTAACCTCAGCTCTAATATTTGATATGTTTGACATGATGTAACAGAAGCTCTCCAAACGCTGATATGATCTGGTTTATCCCCAAATCGTTGATAAAACAAGCGAGAAACTAAAGCAGAAAAGAAAGGGATCCGACTAAAGCTTTGCATACATGGGTTAAAGAAAACAGGAACAACAACGACCAAAAAAAAAATTACAAAATAGCTTTCTATGGCCAGGTTGATTCAGTACAAAAAAAACCTAGCTTTTGGTTTTACAGTTACTCTTTCCCAAAACATTTTAGGATTAATGATGACTGGCTCTGGCGATGAATATCTAGTTCAGAGCGGCT